CGCCTTCTGACCTGATCTATGTTTAAATTACTCAAAGAATAAGTTTCAGAGTAGCAGCCGTGTTAGTCTATAGCCGCAAAAAGAAGAACAGGAGTACTTGTGGCACCTTAGAGACTAACAAATTTATTAGAGCATAAGCTTTCGTGGACTACAGCCCACTTAGTGGGAATCATAGAGAGAAGAAAGCTGAAAAAAGTGCAGTGACAACAGTAGGAACCATCTGAGGGGGAGAGAGGGATCAGATAGGGAGGTGTTACTGACATGGTGGGTAAAATGTGTGAGAAGAGACATATGAAAAGGAGGCATAGAAAGAAAAGGAAGAGAGCAAGAAAACCAAGGGAACCAGGGACAATGCAAGAGGCCAGAGGGTGGCAGAGAAACAGCAGACTGAAAAATCCAGTGGAAAAGATGAACTTCTGGTTCGCTCACTCTGCGCTGAGCATATGAGGATACTGAATCGCCTTCTGACCTGATCTATGTTTAAATTACTCAAAGAGTAAGCACTGTACATTTGGGGATGAAACACAACAAAGTGACTGAATCCATGTTTTAAGTGCAAAATGGAATTCAACAGTAACTAGAGCCATGACCGGCAACTCCAGAACATAAAAAATATTTGTTTACAATCGATATCTAGTCTCCTAGGCCCTCTGCTATCTCAATCAAGTGAGCTGAATGCAATTGAAAAGCTCTCTAAATGCTCGTTGAGACGCAGGCTAACAGAAGCATTTGAAGCTGTGGCCTAGGCCTTTTCAAATAGCAACAAGATGGCAGTGACCTGTGCTCGCTATTCACTTACAACTGGATAGGAATTGCTAATCGAGCTGGCAAAGACCAATTATCGATTCTATGAGCCAACCAGTGCCTCTCAATTTAACCTTTCAGAAAATGTTACATGTTGGGTTTAGAAGTACAAAGAACACGAAGCAGTACAATTATTATGAGCGATTGACAGTCAGGTGAACCCTGAACCCCATTTCTGAGTGACATTGCTGCATAGCTACCAGTAGCTCCCTCAAGAGTACATCGTTTTTCTGTTGTGACAGATTGTACAGAGCAGGGTTCAGACAGCCCGTGATACACTGTCCCCTTGGGGCACTGGGCCAGAGCAGGAGGTGGTAGGTGTATACTGCACACAGCTGATGTTGTGACTAAAATGGCCGCATGGCTAAGAGAGCGGGCATGCATAGGCCACCATGCCAGCTCGTTACTGGGGGGATACCTGCGGGGCCATCACCAGCGCAAGGCCACTGGCGGGAGCGTGTTTGGGGACAGGAGAGCTGCAAGGTCATCACCTGGGGGCGCGGCAGCCCATCCGTGTGCACAGCCGTCGAAGGCCGGGCGAAACCAGCCACGTGTGTGAGCGAGCGCGACCTCTGCAGCGCGCGCCGCCGTCCTACTTTCCCTCTCCCGCGCCCGCCTCTCGCGCCGTCCTCTGTGCCTTAGCCCTAAGCTCCGTCCCCCCTCTCCCTGTGCGCGAGGCGCGGCCAATGGGAGCATAGCGTGGGGAAGCGGCGGAGGCGGGGCCCGCATGGAGTCTGGTGCGGCTGCGCACAGAGCTGACCGCCTCTCTATGTTCAGGACGGGAGGGGGGGTGTCTACGCCTGCGCATAACAGCGTTTGTCTCCCATGCCCGAGTGGTGTTTTCTGCGCCTGTGCTATGCGCCTCCCGCTCCCCAGTGGCCGGGAGAGGGG